CATGCTAGTTCCACTTTAACAGCCTCAGTCACTATGAAGGAGCAGAAAAACAAAATTAACTTCTATAAAATTACATTTGAAGATTTTTGAATCATGCTTCTCTGTATCATCTCTATGTGCAGTTTAAATGTGTGAGTCTCTCCAGACAAGGCAGATCTGTATTCATATATTCAGGAGAATGAAACACTGATGAATCAGCAGATCTTTTAATTCCCTACCTGGAAACTGGGAAATGCTCTAGAACGCATCTGTCTGTAAATGTTCTTTATACATCATGTAAATCTTCTTCCATAAAATGAAGAATTTTAGAGCTCAGGCTGTATAGACAAATGGAGGTCAAATACAGAAACAGACAGAGTAAAGGTATTTCCTCCATGGTGCTCATCTGTGATGAGAAAAATTTGCAGCGTGTCTTCTGTATTCTCTTACCAGCAAATGCAGAAAAACTATAATTTACGGGGTCACACAATCCTCCAGTTTATATCTTAAAATGAACTTGAATGAAAAAAGTGAAGATTTTACATTTTATAGGCAGTATCTAGAAATGTTCATTTTACCTAATCAGTAACCTTAAAAATACACATTTTTTCTTCAATTCATTCCAAAAAGAAAGACTTGGCATCATTCTCAGGCAGCTTAACTCTTCAATAAGACACAGAAGTTGAATCTAATACAATTTTATTTCAGCTAATTGTAGTACTGTGCAGAGAATGTTTTTCTAATCTTTAGAAGTGTAAGAAGACAATGACTTTCCTGAGCCCTGTATCTATAAGTAATTAACACTGACTGGCGGAACATGGAAAAAGAGGGAATGGTCTAGTTAGGACTAAACTAACTAGCTCTAAAGAGGAAGATACCAAAAATACATTGTAACAAGTTGCAGTGGCTGAAAACTGCCACATAAAAATGATAACCTCATGCAGATCAATAAAAGACAAAAAAAAACATGAAAGTAGGGCCTCATAGATGTGTAAATGTATATGTCGTGTGAGATCATCTAAGGCATTGTACTACTTGTCCCATGAGATTTAGAGTTAGATTTTGGTGACTTGCCACTTACTGCTCTTCTTGCTGCAAAGGAAGCTGTACCTGAGAACCTGCATTGAAAGGACCTCCCTGCTTCTGCTTCATTCATTCTATGGATCTGTGCTTCTACCTCTCCTGCTGCTCTCCTGTCCAAGGGGGGCTGTAGGGAGAGACTGTGCTATCTGAGAGACCAGTGGCATAGTCAAACTGGCATGTGCGTAGGCGCAGCTTGGTGCAGAAGAGTAATTGCACAGGGTTTGGCTGCAAGAACAAGTGCTTGCATTAAAGGAAAGGCTCAACACAACAGACAGCCCAGCAGGAAAACACCATGACAGGAAATAGTCACAGTTCCATGTGACTTGAGAACACAGTAGGGTCAGATGCACCGACAGTGTCTATTTCAGAGGGTGGAATGCAGCCTGGCTGGTCTGATCCCACTAGGGAGGCCTCCAAAGTAGGATGGCATGTCCCTAGCCTGTCCCTCATAGTCAGGAACCTCTCCCTACTCCTATCGCTTTCCCTGGCAGACAGGTGTTGTTTCCCTCTCCTATCAACTTTGCCTCAGAACCTAGGGGCAGGGATTTAAAAAGACTCTGCTTACCCTGGCTGCCAGGGGTCACCTGAATGCAGCATAGCAAACCAGAACGCTGCCTCAGGGGACTAAGAAACCATAGAGAAATCAGGTTTCTCCTGACGTCCTCTCCAGCTGCAGTACTGCTCCAGGTGAGCACTACTGGCAGTGGAGAAAGCAGACTGCACCTGCCTATAGGCTTCAGTAGACAGAGCAGGAAGTGCCTGGAAAGACAGTGCTATGGGCTGAGCTGCTAGAACTAAGAGCCAGGAACTGTGCACAGCAGACAGAGAGACAGCTACAGAGAGCTCAAGAAGGGAACCAGGCTTCAGAGACACTAGATTTAGGTTCAGGCTTGAAAGGGGAGCTCAAGAGTGTGGCGTGACCCTTCACTTAGCCTACATAGCATCAGTGCTGAGAGGCTCTTTGACCACTTCTTATTTCAGTTGAACTTTTTTTTGCTGCCAGACGTTTGAACTTTGTTACTCTGAGGAGAATCTGTCTAGGACGCATAATCAGCATTCCCCTGTGGATAACATTTTGAGAGTGCCCCACAGCTAACAAACTGTATACTTGTTCATCCACTAGCCAGTGGTTTAAATAGGGTCTAAGAATAGAAGACAGGCTGTACTACTTTATGTCTTCTGGTGCTCTCTTTTAGAATTATTCTTTGCTGTGTGCTATTACATGGCTGTCATCTGAGTTACTCTGCTCTTATTATTAGTGTTATTATAATACAGGATTTTTATCACAAATTGTGCAGCGCTTTACACAATGCAGGTAGACATTACAGTTACAATACAATTTGGTACAAGAGGAAACAGAGGGCCCTGCTCATTAGAGCTTACAATCTAAGTGCAATGGTTGAGTGATACAAAATGTAATAGCTGTGGGGGATGAGCTGATGGAGGAATTAAAAAGCAGTTTACTAGGATAGGCTTCTTTAAAGAGAGGGGTTTTCAGGGATTATCTAAAGGTGGATAGATTAGGAGACTGTCAGGGCTCCCAGGTATGACCAGAGGTGTGTGACTGATGCAGGGAAACGCAGACTTCAGATATGTGATAAACAATACAATTTATTAACACTAACCATACAAACATAAACGCAGTGCAATACTAAACATAATACAGGATAACAGTACATACAAGCAAGCGTCGTCAGGCAGGCCGGGTCAATATCAATTGGGCAGGTAGGTACAGGGGGGAGCAAGCAGAGAATGGTCGGGGTCACAGGCCAGGTTCAGCAGGTAGCAAGCAGCGTAGTACAGAGGGTCAGGCAGAGGGATGGTCAGGGTCACAAGCCAGAGATCAAAACAGGTAACAAGCAGCGTAGTACAGAGGGTCAGGCAGAGGGACAGAAACAGGATGCAGGACAGAAACAGGATGCAGGACAGATACAGGGCCCAGGACAAACACAACACCAAGGCAGAGTCTGTGGGTCTGGCCATCCCTTAAATACCCCAGCATCATCAGTTCCAGGTGTTAGCTGGCTGAAAGGTTGAGTCTCTGATTGCTGGGAGCACCCGCTGGCCAGCCCTGGTACTGCAGATCAAAAGGCAGGTGAGTCCCACCATTGCTGGCCAGTCCATTCCTAACAGTACCCCCCCCCCCAAGGAGCGGCCTCAGGACGCTCCAAACAGTCCTAGCTGGGCAAAATGTTCCACCGCCCGGGTCTGGTAACTGGCGGGATATCAAAGACTGGCACACCGGGCAGGACTCCGGGCAGCGGCACACCGGGCTGGACTCCGGGCAGAGCACACCGGGCTGGACTCCGGGCAGAGGCACACCGGGCTGGACTCCGGGCAGAGGCACACCGGGCTGGGACTCCGGGCAGAGGCACACCGGGCCTGCACACCGGGCAGAGGCACATCGGGCAGGACTCCGGGCAGAGGCACATCGGGCAGGACTCCGGGCAAGAGGCACATCGGGCAGGACTCCGGGCAGAGGCACATCGGGCAGGACTCCGGGCAGAGGCACATCGGGCAGGACTCCGGGCAGAGGCACATCGGGCAGGACTCCGGGCAGAGGCACATCGGATTACCAGGCGAAGCAGCAGGCAGCGGGCCACCAGGCGGAGCAGCAGGCACCGGGCCCCCGGGCGGAGCAGCAGGCACCGGGCCCCGGGCGGAGCAGCAGGCACCGGGCCCCCCGGACGGAGCAGCAGGCACCGGGCCCCCGGGCGGGGCGACCGGGCCCCCGAACGGCAGCACCGGCAGGCGGAGCAGCACCGGTGCCCCCGGGCGGCAGCAGGCAGGGCAGGCGGAGCACCGGGCACCGGTGCCCCCGGGCGGGGCAGCAGGCACCGGCCCCCGGGCGGGCACCGGGGGCACCGGGGGCCCCCAGGGGCGGAGCAGCAGGCGGGCGGCCGGGCCCCCGGGCGGGGGCGACCGGCATCGGCCCCCGGGCGGGGCGGCGGGGCACCCCCCCGGGCCCCCAGGCGGGGCGGGCGAGCGCCGGGCCCCCCAGGCGGGGGGGCGGGCGCCGGGCCCCCCAGGCGGGGCGGCGGCGGGCCGGGCCCCCAGGAGGGGCGACAGGCATCGGGCCCCCAGGAGGGGCGACAGGCATCGGGCCCCCAGGCGGGGCGACAGGCATCGTGCCCCCAGGCGGGCGACAGGCATCGTACCCCCAGGCGCGGGCAGCGACAGGCATCGTGCCCCCAGGCGGAGCGCGGCGCGGCGCCGGACCCCCAGGCGGGAGCGACAGGTCTCGGGCCCTCAGGCGGGAGCGGGCGGGCGCCGGACCCCCAGGCGGAGCGACAGGTCTCGGGCCCTCAGGCGGCAGCGGCGGGGCGCTGGACCCCCCAGGCGGAGCGACAGGTCTCGGGCCCTCACAGGCGGAGCGGCGGGCGCCGGACCCCCCGGGAGGAGCGACAGGTCTCGGGGCCCTCAGGCGGAGCGGCGGGCGCCGGACCCCCAGGCGGAGCGACAGGTCTCGGGCCCCTCAGGCGGAGCGGCGGGCGCCGGGACCCCCAGGAGGAGCGACAGGTCTCGGGCCCTCAGGCGGAGCGGCGGGCGCCGGACCCCCAGGTGAGCGACAGGTCTCGGGCCCTCAGGCGGAGCGGCGGGGCGCCGGACCCCCCAGGCGGGAGCGACAGGTCTCGGGCCCTCAGGCGAGCGGCGGGCGCTGGACCCCCAGCGGAGCGACAGGTCTCGGGCCCTCAGGCGCGAATAAAGCGGAGGGAGCGCAGCGGGCATGCGGACACCCAGGCAGGAAAGCGACAGGGCTCTCGGAGCCCCTCAAGCGGATCCGCGGAGCGGCGGGCTGCCGGACCCCCAGGCGGAGCCGACAGGACAGAGTCTCGGACCCCTCAGGCGGAGTGGTGGGCGCCGGACCCCCAGGCGGAACGACAGTTGGGGCTCCGAGTCAGGCCCCCAGGCGGGGCGGCGGGGGCGGGGCACCGCAGTCACCAGGCACAACCGTGGGCTCCGAGTCAACTGGGATGGACCGCTGGCACTGGGTCGACTCGAGACATTGGATCGTCTGGCTGGACAGCGGGCATGCCGGGTCACCAGGCATCAGGTCATTTGGCTCGACAGCGGGCACCGCGTCATCTGGCAAGGCAGTGGGCTCCGAGTCAGCTGGTATGACCGCGGTCTTCACTGGAGTCAGACATTGGATCGTCTGGCTGGACAGCGGGGACACTGGGTCACCAGGCATCAGGTCATTTGGCTCGACAGCGGGCAACCCCGCGTCATCTGCATCTGGCAAGGCAGTTGGCTCCGAGTCAACAGGCACGACAGGAGGCACCGGGTCATCAGGTACCGGATTTACACAATCTGGCTCGACAGCGGGCATCGGGTCCGACCAGGTATGACAGCGGGCACTGGGTCCACAGGCATCAATCAGGTCATTTGGCTCGACAGCGGGCACCGGATCAGGTACCGGATCATCTGGATCAACAGCGGGCATCGAGTCAACTGGCCTAATAGGATCGTCAGGCTGGATCAGTTCATCATGCTGGGTAGAGGCATCAGGCCTGAATGCCGGCGCGGCCGGCTCCGGCTGAGTAGATGGCTCAGGCCGAGCTAGAAGCGAGTTCAGGTCCGAGTACAGTAGAGGCATCAGTAGCGGCCTTCAGGCCCACGAGTAGTAGGCTTTAAGCAGGCCGAGTAGTGGAGTCGAAGGCTTCAGGCCGATAGTAGGAGTGTAGTAGAGGCTTCAGGCCGATTAGAGGCATCAGGCCCGAAAGTAGTAGAGGGCATCAGGCCGAAGAGAGGCATCAGGCCGAAGAGAGGCATCAGGCTGCATACAGGCATGTATGAGGCTGAAAGAGAGGCATCAGGCTGCGTTACCGCTCAGGCTCTGAGTAGAGGCATCATGCTGAGTAAAGGCATCAGGCTGAAGTAGAGGGCATCAGGCGCGTGAGTAGAGAGGCTTCAGGCTGAGTAGAGGCATCAGGCCTGAGTAGAGGCATCAGGTGAGTAGAGGCATCAGGCTGAGTAGAGGCTTCAGGCTGAGTAGAGGCTTCAGGCTGAGTAGAGGCAGGCACTCCTTCCGGTTGGGGATAGGACCGCTAGGGAGTAGAGTCTTCAGGCTGGCCACGGAAGGCAGGCTGGTATTGGATACTGGCAGGATGGTAAGAAAGAATTTTTCGCTTTTTTCTGGTTTTAACTACTGGAGCACTGCAAGTAAAAACACGCAGGTCTGCAAACGAATGGAGCAGCTGGAGACAGAGAAGAACTGGAGGATGGAACAGGAGAGGGAGCGGTTGCTACAGAGGGCTTTTTTACAGGGTTAAAGGCAGGATAGGTGCAGCGAGTGGGAACAGGGTACTGACATGCGGTAGATAGCAGGGCAGGAGGAGCTGTTGGGAATGCAGGAATAGAGTTTTGAGGAAATAGATTAGAAGCAGGACTGGGTCTTTGTAAGCTGACTGAGGCTGGGGTGCAACAAATCTGTCCATGTCTGCAGTATGGGTTGAACAATGCTGAGCTTACACAAAGCCTGTCTGGTCAATGACTGTACTGCGTTTATACAATCTCTTAGTGTCTGTGGTGAACATGTGGAATAACGCTCCAGAAAGTAACCCACATCATCCTCTAATAACCACACCAGGGACTCTACCTGGTCTGCACTAAATGGTGGCAAAAATTCATCCCTGCATTCGGGGGAACCAGATGAAACCAATCTCAGCACAACCTCAATCAAAGGCTGCAGCTCAGAGAACTCTGTGCCCTGATCTACTAGAACATGAGCGAGCCGTATACATTCTAGCAGTTCATCCCGGGTATACTCCTTCAGAGTTTGATAAGCATATACTCCCTGTCATCAAACACTAGCAGATATATAATATTCAACCTCATCAAGATCCATCCTTCCCATCAACAAGCCAAGATGGCTTCCCTGTGCAGCCACTTCTGGTCAGGATTGGCCTTGGTGTAATGTCAGGGCTCCCAGGTATGACCAGAGGTGTGTGACTGATGCAGGGAAACGCAGACTTCAGATATGTGATAAACAATACAATTTATTAACACTAACCATACAACATAAACGCAGTGCAATACTAAACATAATACAGTGCAAACAAACCAAACCAAACCACCCACAGATAACAGTACATACAAGCAAGCGTCGTCAGGCAGGCCGGGTCAATATCAATTGGGCAGGTAGGTACAGGGGGAGCAAGCAGAGAATGGTCGGGGTCACAGGCCAGGTTCAGCAGGTAGCAAGCAGCGTAGTACAGAGGGTCAGGCAGAGGGTTCTCATGGTCAGGGTCACAAGCCAGAGATCAAAACAGGTAACAAGCAGCGTGTAGTACAGAGGGTCAGGCAGAGGGACAGAAACAGGATGCAGGACAGAAACAGGATGCAGGACAGAAACAGGGCCAGGACAAAACACAACACCAAGGCAGAGTCTGTGGGTCTGGCCATCCCTTAAATACCCCAGCATCATCAGTTCCAGGTGTTAGCTGGCTGAAAGGTTGAGTCTCTGATTGCTGGGAGCACCCGCTGGCCAGCCCTGGTACTGCAGATCAAAAGGCAGGTGAGTCCCACCATTGCTGGCCAGTCCATTCCTAACAGAGACAGTCAAACAGATTGGGGTAGGAAGTTACATAGGATGGGAGAAGCTCGGGAGGCATAGAAGTCCTGCAGGTGAGCATGGGAGGAGGTGACATGGGAACTAGAGAGCAGAAGGTCTTGGGAGGATCGAAGAGAGCGGTTTGGTTGATATTTTGAGACCAGGTTGGTGATGTAGCTGGGGGCAGAGTTTTGGATGGCTTTGTAAGTTGTTAGTATTTTGAATTGTATTTGTTGGAAGCTAGTGGAGGGAGTGGCATAGAGAGATAGCAGACACTGAATGGTTGGTAAGGTGGGATGAGCCTGGCAGCAGCATTCATGATGGACTGAAGGGGGGATAGCCTATGTAAAGGTAAGCCAGTGAGGAGGGGGAGTTGCAGTAGTGGAGGTGAGAGATAACCAGGGAGTGTGAATTAGAAGCTTTTTTAGTATCATTGGTTAAAAAAGAGGCGTATTCTGGAGATGTTGCAGAGGTTGAGGTGGCATGATTTGGACAGAAATTGAATGTGGGTCTGAAAGGATAGTTCAGAATCCAGGGTTTGACCGAGAAATCAGGGGAAGAGGCACGTGGGGGAAAAATATTATGAGCTCAGTTTTGGATAGATTGAGTTTTAGGAAGTGGTGTAACATCCAGTCTTATATGTCTGTTAGAAAATCAGTGATACATGAGGAGCTGAGGAGTAGTGAGATAGATTTGTGCGTCATCAGCATAGAAATGGTATTGGAAATCATAGGAAGCTATCAGCTGACCCAAGAAAGAAATGTAGACCAAGAATAGGAGAGGTGCAATGAAAGAACCTTGGGGGACCCTGGCAGTAAGAGGAGTAAGGAGAGGAAGAAGCAGAGTTGTGAGTGACACTGAAAGTGCGGTGAGATAGGTAAGATTCGAACCAATGGAGAGTACAGTCACAGAGGCCAAGTAAATAGAGTTTTTGATGAGGAGGGGGTGTTCAGCTGTGTCCTGAGGCAGCGAAGAGGTCCAAGAGTAAGAGTATGGAATAGTGACCATTGAATTTAGATGTTAGTAAGTAATTTGCGAGTTTTAGGAGAGCAGTTTTCTGTGGAGTAAAAAATGTATAAGTGAGCGCTAAACTGTGAGCTGCTGTACACCGAAAAGGTACCAAAGAACCTTTAGAAACAAGCTAACAACAAAGGCGCAGCACTAATCTGAAATCAGTCATCCAATAATGGATATCAATAAAAAGAAAATACGTTCTGTGGTCACAATAGCAAGTGATAAGTAAGCATAAAAATACCCACTGGTAGTGTGAAGGTACAGTAATGTTTATACATAAAAGTGACTGATAAAGGTGCCAAAGTCTATGTATATGGATAGATGAAGTAAACCATCTACTGTGCATCTTCTGGTGATAAAATATTCGAATTACACACTCACCAGATGCATAATTCCAATATGCATATAGAAACATAAATCATCTCCATGGTTCAGTGAAGCCGTCATATAGGCACGTCTACCATCTCTGGACTTCCCTCTGGACACGTCTATCCTTTGGGGGACCTTCTGGATCATCCGGTTGGATACAGCACCTCTGAACTTCCTCCTCTGAGGACTCTGTGGGTGATGGACTCAGCAAGAGTCCCAAAAAAGGCACCAGAATGGTGTGATATCGTTTTGTAAAGTATTTATTGATCCAAAATAAAAACAGAAGCATAGTGGGTAAACAAAAAAACTGACCATGAAAAGGTTAAAGGTGGGCACCGGCCCAAGTAGGGACATGGTGGCGTGACGTCTGGACTCTGCAGCTCTTTCACTTACGCGTTTCGTGCTAAATGCACGTATTCATAGGGGGTGTCCTTGCAAGCAGCTGGATTAAACAAGGGAAGTATTGATTGTGAAGGTGGAGGGTGAGAGAGATAACTGTATAATGGAGATCTCCTCACACATTGTATCAATCTTGTTTTTGAAGTGATTAACAATCTCCTGAGCAGTGAGTGAGTTATTTGATGGAGGTAATGAAGGGCAAAGTAGAAAGTTAAAGGTGAAAAAGGGTTGACGGGGACTGCGTGAAAGGGTGTCGATGAGAGTGATAAAATAGGTCTGTTTGGTAGTGTGGATACAGAAACTGTATATTTATATTGGTCGTAGTCTTGCTGGGTCTTAATCTTATGCCATAAGCGCTCAAGAGCACGGGTAATTTTTTTGAGCCATCTGGTATTGTCTGTTTGCCAGGGCTGCAGCAGTCGGGGCCCAATTCTGTGTGTAATGAAGCAGGCCAATGTGTCCAAGGTGGATGACAGTGAACTGTTGTAGACAGAAGTGGCCAGGTTGGGGCAGGACAGGGCTGAGATTTTGTTATAGAGACAATCTGTTGCAGAAAAAAGAAGAGAAGGGTTAAGATAGTGAAGATTTCTATGGGTAACTGGTTAGTAGCTGGAAGACAAGGATGAGGAAGCCAACGAGTCAGTGAAGCTAATAAGGGAGTGATCAGAGAGAGGAAAAGGAAAGTTGGTGAGGTTGCAAGGAGTTAATAGGTAGGAGAATACAAAGTCAACTAAACAATGTTTGTCCCTGTGCTTGATATCAAGTTAACCCTGTAACTGCTCTGTTTAAACCAAACTTCTCTTTTCAGGCCTTGTCTTGACCTGTATAAAGCCTTTTTGTAACAAAATGGCCTGTTGGTAAGTTGGTAAATCCATGTCCTAACCCTCTTGTATTGACCTGTATTGTTGCTGTATTGTCTCCCGTTATATTGTAAAGCCCTGATCTAACTGTTGGCGCTATATAAATCCTGTATAATAATAATAATGTATGGGGCAGGCCTTCACTGGGAGTGTCTAAAGGACCCAACAATCCATCAGCTCCCTAGAGAGTCAGTGATAAACTGGTGACTAAATCTTTGTCCTTTGCTTGCTTTTCTTGGGCACATCTTCAACTAGAGGCAGGGTAGCAGATCATAAAGGTTCAATAATCAGGGACATATATTATATAGCCAAAGTT